AGCTTTTTAAACTACCCTTAAAGCAACAGAATAAGATAACACCCTCCACACACATTTCTAGTTCCTGATATTTCAAGCTTTATCAGTCATAACAGAAACTAGACACGAATCCCAGTCCACAGGGGCTACAGAAAACAAATGGTTCAGCTAGACATCTGCATTAGCATTAAGCGTCCCTTATGGACCCAGATCATATGTGGGCAATACAATGAATAACATAGTGGAAGAACTCAGAAGCTATACAGCATATCATTAGGGTGTTTGATAATTTACACATTTACAGGTACTCCTCTAGAGACAGATCACTAAACATAAACATACTGTGTTTTACCTTCTGAAAAAACTTGTGAAGAATTGCTGTCTCTCTTATCTGCATTGCAATCTCCACTCTCCTCTTCCATGAAATTGGTTTCCAAGCTAAATTCAGATTCGTGTTTCACATCAGTAAACTCCTCAATTACTCCATGACTTGGGTCACAAGAGGTATCTGCGCCATCAGCCTGCTCCTGCCCAAGCGTCTGCTCTGCTGTGTCTGTAGCTGTGACTTGTTAGAGAGAGAAATGGGTTATATTCTCCTGGAAAAGTTAGTGTTTATAGCTACCTCTTGCTAGTTAGGTTGTCCCTTTGAGTTACCAATTTTTTTTTCTCCCAATACTCTATCCAAAAAGATAGAAGTGGGCCTTGTATTCTACAGTAAAGACGACTTTTGGCTAGCATGCCAAATGTTATGCAATACACAACACAGGTTATTTCTTTAATTTTCTCTGGGGAAATACATTTGGGGAATATAAGTTTTAGTTTCCAAAGACCCCAAATAACTGAAAATAATAAAAAGTTGACTTCTCTCTCCCAGAATTTCTTTGCAGACTTCATGAATGAAGATGCCTTGTCATAAAGGAGGAGGTTTCCTTCCAATTTACATATTCTTTCCTCTGCTACAAGGCAAACCTTTCCCTCCTCTCGGTGGCAGCAGCCAAGCCAGATGCTGTGCGAGAGAACAGCTTGTGTCTCCCATGAGTGGGTGAGAACCCCTGGTATGCTGCTCCATGTGGATTTCCTCTGTGCTGCCGCACAAACAACATCTGAGGAAGAAGCAGTGGGCTGTCTGCCGGAAAATGAGCACAGCTTCCCTCTCCCCTGCTAAATCCTTCAGCAGCTGCTGCTCCCACCCACGCAGAGACAATGGAGCAACAGAGTCTCCAAGCCAGAAGAGCACCCAGCCAACAAGCCAGTCTACACCAGGATCCTGGCTAAAAACATACGTTATTCAAACTTTCTAACTGAAACAACATTTACCAAAGCATGGGAAAAGACAGGCTACCTTTTTCCTGCTCTGGTACATCATTCTTATCTTCTCCACCTCCATCTGCTTCTCCAGTCTCCTGGGCCCCTTCACTGTCCACTTCTGCCTCACTTTCCCCAGCTTCTTCTGATTCACTTTCATCTTCCTCACTCTCAGACTCAGGAGAGGTCTTCAGGGTAGCCAGGAGCTTATGATATACAGAGACCTGTTCCACTTCAGTTTCTGAATCACTTTCTGCACTCGATTTATCAGAATTCTCAGACTGGAAGGGAAAACGCAAGTGTAACAGCAACAACAGTAACACTCCACTAGGCAGCAGGCAAATACCCTCACCTCTAGTTCCAATGTTATGTTTTCCCTCTCCCATCCTACCCTTATGCAGATGCAATGGCATTTTTCAAAAATTGCCATTTTACACAAATAGTTATGCTGGATTCCTCCATGTGGATTTTGAAATCATCTTGGTAGACTTAGGCCAAAGTGCCTCACTATGCACTGATTTGACTTAGAGCGCCGCAAAATTTGGTTCTTTCAGTCTCAGGTGGGTGAGTACACTTGATGTCCACAGACAAGGCATTTAGTGAACTGGCACTGGATTTTCCTAAGAAAACCTGACACAGAGCAAAAGTTGCTGGGCACACAAGGGACAGAACACACTGAAAATGCTTCTGGCTCTCAAGAAGGTAAGTGAAATAGCCACCAGTTGACAACAGATCACTGGGGAGTCGGTCAGGTTTGGCTCTGCTGTAAAGCTCTAAGCTTCAAACAAACCAGACTCCGAGCCAGTTCTGTCTCAGGCTCGCACAAGCCAATGACAACCTGCCAGGTTATGGGCAAAATGATAGTGAAATCAGGAGTAAAAGCACAGCACCATTTACTCCTCTCTTAGTTCCTTTTGGCCCCAAAAGGAAAAAAATCAGTAAATACGATATTAATGCACAAAATTGCTAAAGGAAACAAATGAACCAGAATAATTATTTTTTCCACACTGAAACTTTGAAGTCTTTTATTAATCTGATGATAAAAGGAGGTTACCAAATCCCGACTGAAAGAGAAGTAAAGCATTGGCAATCTGAAGAAGAGGAATGAGCATTAATATATCCTTCATTCAACAGAGAACAAAACATCTCCTAACTCGTGCAACACTAAATTTATTAACATTATTAAAACAACTTAAAGCACGATTTACTTTTCACTGTAACTAAGTAATACGCAAAAAACCCCATGAACAGCTATGGTGTTGCCTGCTGCTTCTGCCCTCTCATAGTATTACAGTTTTGAGTTAGACACTGTAGAGAACAATTCAGAGCCACACAAAAATCTTGTTCATTTTTTTTTCTCTTAAACACAGGTTTTCTAAAGGGAACAACTTAATCAGCCTGAATAACTTGGTAACATGAAATGGTAAGTGTGTCACTTCACTGAACTACACAAAGATGAAAGTAAGGAAGAAATAAAAACATATTACCAGTTCACAGATTTGAGTTGCTTCTGGTCTTCCAGAAACCCTGAAAAGAAAGCACTGAAATATCTTACTCTGTCAATCTTGCTATACACAGGATGAAAGAGATCAGGGGGAGAAGGAATTGATGAGTTACACAAGTCTTAGAGAAGTTAAAAGAAAGCTTAAAGCCAACGCATCACACAATTTTCCCTAAGAAAACAGACTTGGCACTTACCCTGAGAGCTCACCCTCTCAGGTGATGCTACACTCTGTATGTGAAGCCTAAATGCTCAAGTGTTGTAACTGATCAAGAAGTGAAATGTTTTAAAGTAGAATCTGGCTTTAATCAGAAGACGAGCTGTTAAAAGGAACCTAAGAAAGCTAACGACAAGGGTAGTTTGTACAACAAAGTTAGCCAGAGCAAGAGCCTACCTCTAGCAGGAAATACTGATCTGTGAAGTGGGAAAAAGACAGATACTACAGGAGAAACAGCATTAATTAACCAGCGTTGGGACTGCAGTTCTGCAAACAAGACACTGTACAAGCTGGGCTTAAACTAACCTCAACTCTTTCAAAAAGATGCAGAGCCCTGAGCGGGACAGAGTGTCACTGCACAGGGGAGGCACCGGACACTGCTCCCCGGCAGGCCGGGACTCTGCCTTCCACCCCAAGCCACACACGCTGGGGAGGGGAGGGGGGTTCCAGGATACACACAAATAACAGACCTTAACGTTATCTGCCTGCTACTAAGGGCACATAACGTTAAAACTGAACAGGTGACCCGACGGCGTCTTCCTCGCAGGCTTCTAAGACTTTACAGCAGCACCAAACGACACAGCATCTGGACAAAGCTGCTCATTCCTCGCAAGTTTACGTGGGGGTCCAAAATACGGTGCCCTTTTTGACAGAGGGGCATCCCGCCGAGAAAGCCACGGTTCTTGCCACACGAGACCTTCTGCGCTGTATGTCCGCAGCCTTTGCCAGATCAGAAAGGGCCGCGGAGCAACAGGGGTAAAGCTGGAGCCTGGGGAAGCCAAGGGACCAGCCCGGTCTCCGAGCTGGACCCTAACTTGCTCCTCCGCTCTCCCGCTTTTCACGGCAGCCTCCGGGCTGCACAAGAAGACCTGGCGGCGTTTGTTGCAAGCAAATCTGAGCCCAGGCTCCCCGCCTTCCCGTCTTCTTTCGGCATTTCGAGCTCGGGAGCGGCAGCGCAAGGTGCCGATGCGGCTCTCCTCCTCCCCTCAGGAGCCCAGGGAAGGCATGAGCGGCAGCAGCCGCTGCCCAGGCCCGGCCCGGGCTGAGCGGGGCTACTCGGGCCCGGAGCCCCGGGGCAGCCGATCCCGCGCCGGGGGCCGCGGCCCCC